TCTTTCCCTCCTGAAACAGGAACCAGAAAGGATGCAACCAGAGTAACTCTCATGGGCAAGAGGAAGGAACAGGGACATTCTAAGACTTCAGTGCGGCCTGTGGCCTGTCTGCCTTCCTTTGTTCGTCCTGCCCCTGCCCCAGCACACCCACTCCCACAGTGCTGCGCCCATGCTGCTCAGCCCAAAGCCCCCTCACTGCCCCACTCCGCCCACGTCTGCTCACCTTAGTGCTCTGTGCTCCCAAAGCTACTCATTCCCCTTCCCCTTCACTCTGTCAAGCTCCCTCTCCCTTACTCTTAGATGTAAAGGAACCCCAAACAACCCACATTAGCGATAATAACATTTTAAAGTCATTCTCAGTGATGGTCATGTTGCAAGCATGCCATGCACGTGAACTCATGCAAATCCTCACAACAGCCCTACGAGGGCAGTAGTATTATCTGCCTCTTCACCTAACGAATCTGAGGCACAGAGAAGTTAAGTAATGTGCCCAGGGTCACGTAGCTAGGGAACGACAGAGCTGGGATTTAAACCAGGCAGTTGATCTGGTTCCCAGAACCTATACCCTTAGCCACAGCTTTATGCTGCTGCATCATTAAAATTAAAATGTAAATGACTGAAAGCAACAGTATTATCCTCCCAAGTGTGTTTGCATATTAACCCAATGAACTCTGGTGAACATTTCATGAAGAGTTGGGAACGAGTGAGAGACAGAGATTGACTTTAAAAGGAGGTTCTTCACCTGTGTTGCTTGCAAGTAAGTTTGGCTCAAGTGGGGACCCTGCTCCTATGCTTACCTGTGACAGTGGGGGGAACTGGGGGAAAGAGGGGAGCAAATTCCCTCAGCAGAAGGGAGTACTGCCGGCCTTAGTTTTTGGAGTCTTGATGTTCTAGCAGATTTTAAGTTAATTATCCAAATAGAACAGCCTTAAGAAGAAAAAGAGCTTAATCTAAAGTATCGTCAGCAGCATGGGCAGTGAGTCAGGGATTCATGGGCCCGACTGGCCAGAAGCCTAGCATCCCAGGCTGTGGGTCCTTGCTACCTGGGGGACTTTCAAGTCCAGGAGGGACACAAAGGGGGTAAGACAACTGTACCCCTCCCTCCCTCTGTCCCCCGTTGGCATTGGCTGCAACAGTGAGGAAGCTCCTGTGCCACGTCCCGGAGGCCTCAAGTTTCTGACCCCAAGACCATTGGACCTTATGCCTTATCGAACCCCCTAATCCTTTCTTCAAACACGCTGTTTTGTAGCAGTCTAATATAGAACACGGACGGGAGCGTGGAGGGCTGCTCTGTTGGTTGGGGACCAGACCCAACAGCTTACCTGTCTTTTTTTTTTTTTTTTTTGGGGTACACGGGCCTCTCCCTGTTGTGGCCTCTCCCGTTGCGGAGCACAGGCTCCGGACGCGCAGGCTCAGCGGCCATGGCTCACGGGCCCAGCCCGTGGGATCTTCCCGGACCGGGGCATGAACCCGTGTCCCCTGCATCAGCAGGCGGACTCTCAACCACTGCGCCACCAGGGAAGTCCATTAGCTGTCTTCTTGCTGCCTCCATACTTTCCTGGCTCCTGAGGACTCTCCTGGAGCTCTGGGGCAACAGTTCTTAACCCAGGTCCCTGGACTTGCTGAAGCTATTGGCTTTTGGAGGGCAAGACTCCTAATTCTCATGAGATTCTCAGCCGACCTTCCAAAATGACACAAATCCATGGAATATAATTTGAAAACCAGTGCTCAGTGCCAGAGGTTTCTCACCCAGGTGCTGGACCAGAGTCAGCTCTGGGACTTTTTTCAAACTACAGATGCCCAGGCCCCACTCTTGAAGATTCGGATTCAGTAGGTCTGGGGTAGAGTCTGGGCCTCTGGATGTTTTGCCAGCTCTGTGTCCAGTGCCAATGCACTGCCAGATGACCATTGCCTTGCACATCTTCCCAATGGAAAGACCCAACTCTGGCAAGCCCACACCAACCTCAGCCCTCAGCCATTCTTGGGGTGGAATCTACCAGTCCAAGAACTTAGACTTTGGACCTTCTGTACTTCCTCATCTTCTCATCCTGAGAGGCAGTGTACATGGTAGCTAACTGTGCAGACTCAGAGCTCTGACATGGGCTGTCCAAGGTCAAACCCTGACCCCACCACTGGTTATCTGTGGGGACCGTGAGAAAGTTCCTTAATCTCATCTGTAAAATGGGGAATGAAATAACCTGCCTATGGGTTGTCATGAAGGTTAAGAAGACTTCACACACATTAAGTCACTCCAGTGATTGTACATCACAGACTCTATAAGGGGAGCTCTTACTTAGTTTGCTAGGGGTCCCAACTCTGCACTTTACTAAGTTAGCCGTTTTGGGGCCTCAGTTTCCTCATCTGTCAGGTGGAAGTCATCCCCACACTTACCAGACTTTCCATGATTGTCCCTTGAAATTACAGCTGTGAAAATGCTCTCTACATTATACATGATTATACAGATGTAGTCAAGTCTGATTACCAGCAGCACTAATGGTTCTCCATAGTGTTCAGTAAGTGTCAGGCAGATTTCACCATTCAGCTCTGTTTGTGGGAGTAACATCCTCATCATTTGTTACTTATTTAGCACAGTCATCTGCTTGTATCTTTGACAGGTGAGCAGGAACTGGTTGGCAATAGCGACCATGCAAAGCTTCTTTCAAGAAAGCTATAGGTTGACAAGAATAAGCTCTTAAGTGCAGGTCGATAGAGTGGGGAGACCTTGGGAGCAGGGTGTCTGCTCCCCTTTCCCACCCCATTCATCTCAACTCTACTCCTTCAGGAACTGGCTGTCTTATCCAGCTGGACACCAGCCAGACAGCCAGGGGAGGCCACTGGGCTGCTCAGGGCTGGAGCTAGAGTCGGAACCCCAAGTCTAGCTGGGTTGCCAAGTCCGAGTCTTCCACGCAGGGGAACCAAAAGGGTTTAGGCGGGACTAAGGCCCACACCACAAAGCTAAAAGTGCAGAGTCAGGCCTAGACCCGAGCAGACTCGAATAGATGGGCAAGGAGGCCCTGCGGGAAGGTCTCAGGTGACTTAGGCAGGTGCCAGGCTCCACACTGTTTGTGGTCCACTCTTGAGGGCTGGTCTTGGCGTGGGACACAGGTGGGTCTGGCTGGCTCAGAGGACCAGAGGTGAAGCCCGGGATGGCTTTTCCAGGAGTTGTGACTGTCTGATGAAGCTTCCTGTCTATGGGCTGTGCCCTGGTCAGGTGTGGGCCTGAGACTGTCTCTCTCCCCAGGTGAACAAAGCCCTGAAGCAGAAGTCAGACATCGAGCATTATCGGAACAAGCTGCGCCTCAAAGCCAAGAGGAAGGGGTACTACGACTTCCCTCCGGTGGAGGCGGGCAAGGCTCAGATGGAAAGAAAAAAGATGTATGAAAAAGCCCCAAAGGAAATCGAGCACGTTTTGGATCCAGACCCAGAAATGTGTGCCCCATTCACTGAGGCTAAAAACAGGTGCAGTCCCTAAGGGATTCTCTGGAGGTCGCTGTACCATTAGTGGGATGAGGGCAGGGTGTGCCTTAGGCAATACAGTCTGGGTCTCTGGATCTGTTTGTTACTTTAGGACCATCGTCTTTGCAGGCTGCTGGTCTGGGCCACACTGGTCTGTACGAACAGGAGTTCCACAGTGAGTCTGGAAGAGAATAAAATTGAAGCGGTTTAAAAAAAATACTTGTGCAAACAACCGTAATTGTCCTTTAGCTTAATGCTGTTTTCAAACCTATAGCTGTTTCAGAGCTGGGTTCAGATATAATTATCACCCACCTGGTTATGCAACTTCCAGATCAAGGGACAGTGTATTCGTCAATTGTTTTAGTGGCTCTTGCATAAGAAAAACAGAACACATGCCTCACCTTTTCATTCAGCTTCAGTAAGTATTTACTGCGCCGCTACTCCAATCTCCATGCGAGTTCCTCTTTCATTCAAAGACTTGTTCATTCACTTGCCATTTATTGTCACCTGCTCTGTATTGGGCACCACATGCATGATCCTGGATACTGTCATGGTCACATGTTCATTCATTCAATTCATTCCAAATTTTATGGTGGACAGGACAGCCCAATCACTGCCCTTGTGGAACTTAAGGTCTGATGGGAAAGATCACCACCCCAAAAGTTCATTGCTCACAAGTGCAATGGGTGTTTGAAATGTGAGCTGCTGTGACAATCGAAAAGGTGGGCCTGGCCTAGCAAGAGACGGGTAGGCCTGGTGGTTGGAATTGGCATCTCTCCAAGCTTTGCCGCTAATTCAGCAGGCAGTGGCCTCACCTACTGGGAAAAAGGGTAGAGGTCAGCAAAGTTAGATAGGCCCGCCTTTCTTCTTTGCCTTCCCTCTGAGGTACTCCCCCAAAAGCATTTTCATGATTTGAGAACATCTCTTTCAAATACTCCTTGGCAGTGGCCCCTTGACTTTGAGCTGCCAGCGTTCCAACCCATCCTGTAGCCTTGGCAGACGTACCCTCTTCAGAGGTCCCCAGGGAGGACAGGATGGTTCCTGGCCTGAGTGGGTATTTATTCAAAGCCAAAATGACTATGTGGCAGGCTTAGATGGACACCATAAAATCGAGCTGCTACATTTTATGAATTGAATCACCATAATTTATTTTTAATAATGAAAGGGGAGAATTCTAAGCCAGTCCTTCATTTACCAGGCTTCTCATTAGGCTTGGTGGGGATACCAAGCTGTTGATCTAAAATCATACTGTGATGGGATCACAACGTGTGTGCCGCCAAGTTGATAACTGTAGGAATAAAAGAGAAGAGCATGTAGATTTTATTGGGAGGCTGGGGCATCTTTAGCTTTCGCTTTATGCTTTGGGGCTTTTTACTTCAGGGGTCTTTTATAGACGAGGGCGGGGAGTTTTTTTGCTGGGTTTCCTGCTG